GAAAATGATGATGAATTGATGCTTTTGGCTGCTTTTTTTCCCTCTTGCTGCTGCTATGAATTCTGGCTACCTTTTCCGCCTGCTGCTGCAGAGGCTTTTGCTGCTGCTGCTGCTGCTGCTGGTCCTCGGATGGCAACACACCATGGAAAAAATCACCTCCCGGCAGCAAAACACCATGCCTCTGAAGGACGGAGAAGCCCCAAAATTGCACCTCGAAAATGCCTAACGTAACTTCTGAAACCGATAGAAAATGATGCTTTTGGCTCCTTTTTCGTCTTGCTGCTGGCTAGGAGTGTGGGCTACCGCGTCCCTGCTGCTATGAATTGGTGGCTACCTTTTACATCATTCCCGAAATGGGAAACACCTTTCCCGGATGGAAAAACAACAAAAAAAAAAGAACCCACAGACAACAAAACACGCATGGAAAAATCACGTCCCGGCGGGAAACACACATTCCTCTGAATGATGGAGATCTCTCAAATTGCAAACCTGCACCCGAAAAGTCGACAGGTAGAACAGGAACGTCTGAACCCCTGCTTCTGCAGAAACTTTTGCTGCTGCTGCTGCTGGTCCCCGATGGGAAAACACAATGCCTCTGAAGGAGTGAGAAGCCCCAAAATTGCATTTCGAAAATGCCTAACGTAACTTCTGAAACCCATAGAAAATGATGTGATGATGATGAAATGATGTGTTTTTCTGCTTTTTTTTCCCTCTTGCTGCTGCTATGAATTCTGGCTACCTTTTCCGCCTGCTGCTGCAGAGGCTTTTGCTGCTGCTGCTGGTCCTCAGATGGGAACACACCATGGACAAAATCACCTCCCGGCAGAGAAACACCATGCCTCTGAAGGACAGAGAAGCGCCAAAATTGCACCCCGAAAATGCCTAACGTAACTTCTGAAACCGATAGAAAATGATTCTTTTGGCGTCTTTTTCCTCTTACTGCTGCTATGAATTTTGAAGGACAGAGAAGCCCCAAAATTGCACCCCGAAAATGCCTAACGTAACTTCTGAAACCGATAGAAAATGATGTGATGCTTTTGGCTCCTTTTTCCTCTTGCTGCCGCTATGAAGAAAATGATCTATGCAGCTGCTGCTGCTGCTGCTGCTGGGCCTGCTGTTCCGACTGTTCCTGCTGCTAGATTGCTGTTCTGGCTGTTCCTGCTGGTGTATTATTGGACTTCTGCTGGTCTGCCATGCTGCTGCTGCTGGTGGCTGCTGGGCCTCCTGTTCCTGCTGCTGCTGCTGCTGCTGCTCTTGCTGTTCCTGCCGCTGTATTGCGGCTGCATCTGCTGCTGCTTCTTCTGGTGGTGGTGATGCTGGTGCTGGCGTCTGCTGATGCTGCTGCTGCTGCTCCTGCCGTGCCATGAGCCAGCCTCCAAGGCAAGAAACCAACAGCAAGACATCTTTTTCGAAACCCACTCGAAACAGCAAAACACCACATAATTTCGTGCCAAAAATGACGCGAAATCATTCGCGATAACAAGCTACCCGGAGGCCGGAACGTCCCTTCTGAAATCCTACTAGATAGAAATAGAAAGCTAGTTTGACTTCTGCTATTCTGCTATGCTGTTGCTGCTGGTGGCTGCTGGGCCTGCTGTTCCTACTGTTCTTGCTGCTAGATTGCTGTTCTTGCTGTTCCTGCTGGTGTATTATTGGACTTCTGCTGGTCTGCCATGCTGCTGCTGCTGGTGGCTGCTGGGCCTCCTGTTCCTGCTGCTGCTGCTGCTGCTCTTGCTGTTTCGGCTGCAAGAAACCAACAGCCAGACATCTTTTTCGAAACCCACTCGAAACAGCAAAACACCACCTAATTTCGTGCCGAAAATGACGCGAAATCATTCACAAGAACAAGCTCCCCGGAGGCCGGAACGTCCCTTCTGAAATCCTACTAGAAAGCTATATAGATAGCTATAAAGCTATATAGATAGCTATATTGACTTCTGCTGTTCTGCTATGCTGCTGCTGCTGCTGCTGCTGCTGGGCCTGCTGTTCCGACTGTTCCTGCTGCTAGATTGCTGTTCTGGCTGTTCCTGCTGGTGTATTATTGGACTTCTGCTGGTCTGCCATGCTGCTGCTGCTGCTGGTGGCTGCTGGGCCTCCTGTTCCTGCTGCTGCTGCTGCTACTACTGCAGCTGACCCCTCACAAAGCTGCTGCTTTGCCCACAAAGACACGGCCGTGCCGGACGGGGATACACCATGGCCCTGAAGGTTGTGTTGTTGTTGTTGTTGTTGTTGGTGTTGGTGTGTCTGGTATGATTGTTGTTGTTTTTGTTGGTGTTGTTGTCGTTGTGTTGTTGTTGTTGTTGTTGTTGGTGTTGGTGTTGGTGTTGGTGCTGGTGTTGGTGTTGGTGTTGGTGCTGGTGTTGTTGTTCAGTGTTGGTGTTGGTGTTGGTGTTGGTGCTGGTGTTGTTGTTCAGTGTTGGTGTTGGTGTTGGTGTTGGTGTTGGTGTTGGTGTTGTTGTTCAGTGTTGGTGTTGGTGTTGGTGTTGGTGTTGGTGTTGTTGTTCAGTGTTGGTGTTGGTGTTGGTGTTGGTGTTGTTGTTCACAACCTCTCTGCCCTGACGCGCTCCCCCTTGCGTCTGCCGGGGTCGGCGGATTTACAGAACATCATATCTGTGAAAATGTGTTTTTTTTTTTTAACGTACTCGTTTACCTGATTGATCCCGATTGGCGGATTGGCATGCGTTGATTCACAGGTCGAAAGAACGGAGACTAGAGATCAGGGGCATGCAGAGCGAGCCATTCAGGTGCGAGACTTCGGATGCCTTGTGATAGTGACAACATCTTATGTTTACCCAGGATTTATCAACCCCTGGTGGATTGATGTGGTGGGTACCATTTACAATCAATCGCAACTTATCAACGATGTATGCAGGAACTCTTTGGTGACCTATCACTTTTTGCCATTGTTTGGTAGTATCATGTAGTATATGATTAAATCCAATTTGTCAAGACTTGTCACTTTTTAGTACAACTAGAGATAGCAGCTAATAGCAACAGTATGAGTCAGCTTATGAGTATCTGTTGTCGTGCTTGGCCGCCTTGGCACGCAACAGATCTTCGGCACCAGAGCTCAGCTGGAAGAGGCGTGGGTCGGGCCACGGCGGGTGGGCCAGGGCTCGTCCGGTGGGTCGTTCCCTTGCAGCACCAGGCCTTTCCACTGATCATCAAAGATGTGACCTTTGCTCGGAGTGAGCCCATGACTTGGAGCATCTTAGAGCCTTAGAGCCTTCCAAGACGCAGACAGTATCAGACAGTCATACAGTTCCGAGAAAGTCATTGGTGTGAAAGCCGTGAAAGCTGCAGCATGGCACCCGCCGTGGCCCACCAGGTTGGGCTTGGTGAAAGATCCAGCCATGACTCCAGAGGAGGCAGCTGATGCGGCAAGGCCACGGGTTGCTGACGACATTTGATGATGAGTTGGGCTGCTGCATATGAGTATAGCATTGTATAGATTTGTATAGCTATATTGCCTTCATTATTCTATATTGTTCTCACATACTCGCAGTATACTATACCTAGAGAACCAAGTAGATATACTCGTACACAGTACGCCATAATACATCATAATACATCATAATACATCATAATACATCATAATACATCATAATACATCATAATACATCATAATACATCATAATATATCATAATACATCATAATACATCATAATACATCATAATACATCATAATACATCATAATACATCATAATACATAATGTATCACCCATCTGCACCAAGAACGTGGACATGTCTGCCCTTTTTGACTAAATCTTGGTGGCCTTTGGAGAAGCCCAGCTGGTCAGGCTACGGGGACCAGGAGGCAACGCAGCGTTTCCCTTTCCAGGCGAGTTGCGAAGGCGGTGCCTCTGAAGGGACGATTCGTTGTGGATTTTCACCAGGTCCACCTGGAGCACCACCATTCTTTCCAGTGCCAGGTGTGGTTAGAGATTCCCATTTTTAGATACTTTTTAGCATTCATGTATCATTCATGTATCATTCATGTATCATTCATGTATCATTCATGTATCATATTCGTTTTTTTGGAGGCAGCTTTTAATTTAACCAGTGGTCACTGAGGCATGCCGCCGCAACTTGGCTGAATGTTGCTGCATTTGAAACACGTTTCATCGCTCGATCCTGCTATGTCTGACCAGACTGCTCGCTTAGGCCAGGAATGCCAGGTGCTCCGCCGCCGATGATGACCATGCCTCCGCTGGATTCCCAGGGCGCCAAAACAAAATGTGCCAACGGCGAATCCAATGTGGCTCAAAGTGGGTTTTTGATTGTTTGTTGCCACCTACATCCTTTAAAAAACAGTTCAAGGGCTGGTGTGGTTCAAATCGTCTCAGAAAATCTGATCAAACTCAGCGCGACTTGAGCCAGTGCCATTCTTCAGCCCATGAAAAAGGATAGCACACACATATGTCATTATATAGAAACCGATGCTGTTTTTACCGTTCAAGGTTGTTGGTAGATTTTACTGTTGCTGTTGGTTCTTGCTTTTGGTCCTTGCTTTTTTGCTGTTGGCGGTGTTGCTGTTGCTGTTCCTGCTGTCGTTGCCGTTGCTGCCTCGCTTGCTCGAGGCCGCCAGGAATGATGCCACTGCTGCCAGGAATGTCAGAGAGCCAAGCCGGGCGTAGCCGAAACAGGTCATCAGTCTTTGATACGATGGTCTTCCTTTGAAATGATTGTCTAGGTATTCCGTAACTATTGAAGTTACTAGAGGCTCAAATTACATTTTGGATTCCGTGGTGCGGGATCTGCCACTTTGGTGCCGAGATTTGTGCAGGAAACACCAGACAACCCTGCAGCACTTTGCTTGAGCTAGTCACAGAGGACGATGGATGCAACATCCCAGCAACAAACAACACTTAACAGCAGCAGGCAATCAGTGTGGGCAGCCAGATGACTTGTTGGCAGAAAGCTTAGAAAGGCTGATTAGATTGACGGAAATACATAGAATTATATACAGTATTTGGCTTCGTGAACATCCTTCAAAACCGGCAGCATGGCTGCTTGGTTGCAAGTGGTGTGCGTTGATCCGGTGAGTCCTTTGAGCTGCCATCCAAGTGTCAGTTTGGTGTTCAACACATCAGATTTTCCGCTGAATGATGAAAGTTGCCTTCTGAGTGGAGTGCCAGGGTCTCCCAACTGGGGATGGATCAAAATTACAAAGTCCATAGATTCGAGAGATCCATGCTGAGCCCCGGTTGAGGTCACCATGCAACACCTGTGTAGCCCAATAAATTGATCCCATGTCGTGATCTGATTCGGCTGCGCAGAGGAACGACTACAATTTGTTGCACCATGGCGTGAGTTGGACCCTTCGGTGCTTTCCAAAAACGGACTGCATTCTGTGCATTCTGTTCAGTTCACTACCCCTGTGAGCCGGGAAGTTGCTCATACTCCAAAAGCGAACAGACATTTCAAGCCTCTTAGATGCAGAATCGGCATGCATTGGTGTGAAACAATGTGCAAAAGCTGGGATATTTTCTGCAACTTTCAAAACCCTACTGTAACATCTGTAACATCCAGGTCTGTTGTGTGTGGCACAGCGGCGATGCTGTTGACATGGCTTGGAAGCCAACGCCGCACCTTGGCATGGCACATTGCAGTCAGCTTTTTCCATCTGATGGCTTTAGCCCCAGCTGCGTAGGCAAACCTGCTCGATGCCAACCTATTGAGTCGACTTTGAGAGCTGCACAGGAGACACTTGGAGCAGGTTGCCCGTGGGTCATATTCGGTATGCGACATGCCCGACATGCCCAACATGCACGTGGATCATCCTCTCCGGTGCACAGGACAAGGGTGCTGCATCGAACACGCCTCCACCTCCACCTCCACCTGGTCCACCACCTGTCCCACAGGCGTGGCCATTACGGCTTGCAGCATTTTTAAAACTTGTGCAGCCTGATTTTAACATGTTTCTGCTGGGACAAGAATATGGTATAATATAGTAACACATCTTGAATTTAATTGCCTGCGGCAAGCCCGCCGGCCATAGCCATTTGGTGCGTAGAGACATTTTATATGAGCCTTCGGCGTAGTCACAGACCGTGGCCTGGACAAAAACAAGGCCAGTGTGTGTGTGTGAACCATCTGAAAAGATGTAAAACTTCTAACTTAGCAGGGGGCCCGTGGGCACATGGATGGCACGGGCCAACGAAGACCCATCCATTTCCATGATGTCGTGAAAACGTACCTGCAATTTTTCCAATTTCTGAAATGGCGACCGGCCAAGCCAAGCACCGGCATGTCGTTTTCTCGAACTGTTTTCATACCAACCAACTGTACGGTTTTCGCAATCTGACTGAGCTGCATCAGAACCAGTAAATCCTTCGAGCAAGGACGTAGAAAGATTTCCTTCGCACAGTTTCTCACTTCTAATCATCCAAACCGTTCCTGTCAGGTTTACTGAGGTGTTTTTGCACGTATGATGCATTCCACATCAGTAATTCGATAAGATATTTCTGAGCAAGTGCGTCATTCCTGCTGTATACGTCAAGTTGGCAGGAACCCTTCGGGGAAAGCCTTTCCAGGCTAACAATTGACAGCAAATCGATGTCTGAATTTACACTTTTGAATTAGTAATTCGTTTAAGTAAAGTGAACTGCCGGCCTTTTTCGATTCTCACCTGTCGATGTCGTTTGTGTTGAAACTGCTGCCCGCTGTACCAGGGTCTCACCGTTTCTGAGCCTTCTTCTTGCATAGTTGGAAGCCGCGACAACAACCTCCTTTTCCAGTGAAGCTCAAGCGCATACTCGCAGCCATTTTCATATAAACAGGCAACAGGACATGCTTGCAGGTTTGGTGTTTCTTCTTTTTTGGTCGTTGGTGAGGTTCAACTGTGCACGTAATTCATTTGAATACTGACAGCCGTCTATGGGGTTGACTTGAACTCAGGCCATTGAGCCTAACAAGGGGAAACTTGCACGCTAATGTGGATGCATCACGTCATTAACTAGTTCCCCATGGGCCCCCTATTTCATCTGTTCTTGCGTTCTCCTTTCTCCAGGTAGGTTTGGCCCGTTGCGTGCTTAGGTTGATGTAGGTTTTCGCCGTGTCAGGTTGGTTCAGGCGCTTCTGTCTTCCCCCTCCTCCGCTGGTCTTGTTCCGTTTTCGTCGGCCTCCGCTTTTCTTTTTCCTTGCCTTTCCAGGGTTGCCCGTTTTGGGCTAGGTTTCATGTGTTGGTGTTTGCTCTTTCCCTCTTCTTTTGCGTTCCCCTCTTTGCGTCCTGGTTAAGTAACTTTCATCTCATTGTCATCTTCACCTCATCTTCATTTCCCTTCCTCTTCATTTTCATCTCATTGTCGGGACCTTAATTTCCCACCCTCCTGCGGGAGGGTGTGTGTGTGAACCGTCTGAAAAGATGTAAAACTTTAACTTAGCAGGGGGCCCGTGGGCACATGGATGGCACGGGCCAACGAAGACCCATCCATTTCCATGATGTGAAAACGTACCTGCAATTTTTCCAATTTCTGAAATGGCGACCGGCCAAGCCAAGCACCGGCATGTCGTTTTCTCGAACTGTTTTCATACCAACCAACTGTACGGTTTTCGCAATCTGACTGAGCTGCATCAGAACCAGTAAATCCTTCGAGCAAGGACGTAGAAAGATTTCCTTCGCACAGTTTCTCACTTCTAATCATCCAAACCGTTCCTGTCAGGTTTACTGAGGTGATTTTTGCACGTATGATGCATTCCACATCAGTAATTCGATAAGATATTTCTGAGCAAGTGTGTGTAAAAGCATCTGTGCGTCAAAGCTGCGGTGTGTAAAGGCTTCTGTGTGTAAAAGCATCTGTGCGTCAAAGCTGCGGTGTGTAAAACTTCTGTGTGTGAAAGCGTCTGTGTGTATAAGCGTCTGTGTGTAGAAGCATCTGTGCGTCAAAGCTGCGGTGTGTAAAAGCTTCTGTGTGTATATGCATCTGCGCTTCAAAGCTGCGGTGTGTAAAAGCTTCTGTGTGTAAAAGCATCTGTGCGTCAAAGCTGCGGTGTGTAAAAGCTTCTGTGTGTAAAAGCATCTGTGCGTTAAAGCTGCGGTGTGTAAAAGCTTCTGTGTGTAAAAGCATCTGTGCGTCAAAGCTGCGGTGTGTAAGAGCTTCTGTGTGTAAAAGCATCTGTGCGTCAAAGCTGCGGTGTGTAAAAGCTTCTGTGTGTAAAAGCATCTGTGCGTTAAAGCTGCGGTGTGTAAAAGCTTCTGTGTGAAAAACCATCTGCGCTTCAAAGCTGCGGTGTGTAAAAGCTTCTGTGTGTAAAAGCATCTGTGCGTCAAAGCTGCGGTGTGTAAGAGCTTCTGTGTGTAAAAGCATCTGTGCGTCAAAGCTGCGGTGTGTAAAAGCTTCTGTGTGAAAAACCATCTGCGCTTCAAAGCTGCGGTGTGTAAAAGCTTCTGTGTGTAAAAGCATCTGTGCGTCGAAGCTGCGGTGTGTAAGAGCTTCTGTGTGTAAAAGCATCTGTGCGTCAAAGCTGCGGTGTGTAAAAGCTTCTGTGTGTGAAAGCGTCTGCGTGTAAAAGCTTCTGTGTGTATAAGTGCGTCAAAGCTGCGGTGTGTAAAAGCTTCTGTGTGTAAAAGCTTCTGTGTGTAAAAGCGTCTATGTGTAAAAGCTTCTGCGTGTAAAAGCGTCTGTGTGTAAAAGCTGCGGTGTGTAAAAGCTTCTGTGTGTAAAAGCTTCTGTGTGTAAAAGCGTTTGTGTGTAAAAGTTTCTGTGTGTAAAAGTTTCTGTGTGTAAAAGCTTCTGTGTGTAAAAGCTTCTGTGTGTAGAAGCGTCTGTGTGCACAAGTTTCTGTGTGTAAAAGCTTCTGTGTGTAAAAGCTTCCGTGTGTAAAAGCGTCTGTGTGTAAAAGTTTTTGTGTGTAAAGGCTTCTGTGTGTAAAAGCTTCTGTGTGTAAAAGCGTCTGTGTGTGAAAGTTTCTGTGTGAAAAAGCTTCTGTGTATAAAAGCATCTGTGCGTCAAAGCTTCTGTGTGTAAAAGCTTCTGTGTGTAAAAGCGTCTGTGGGTAAAAGCTTCTGTGTGTAAAAGCTTCTGTGTGTAAAAGCGTCTGCGTGTAAAAGGTTCTGTGTGTAGAAGTGTCTGTGAGTAAAAGCCGCTGTGTGTAAAAGCTTCTGCGTGTAAAAGCTTCTGTGGGTAAAAGCTTCTGTGCGTAAAAGCGTCTGCGTGTAAACGCTTTTGTGTGTAAATGCTTTTGTGTGTCAAAGGTTCTGTGTGTAAAATCTTCTGTGTGTAAAAGCCTCTGTGTGTAAAAGCTGCTGTGAAAAGCTTCTGCGTGTAAAATCTTTTGTGTGTCCAAGGTTCTGTGTGTAAAAGCTTCTGTGTGTAAAAGCTTCTGTGTGTACAAGCCTCTGTGTGTAAAAGGTTCTGTGTGTAAAAGCTTCTGTGTGTAAAAAGCGCTTGTGTGTAAAAGCGCCTGTGTATAAAAGTGTCTGTGTATAAAAGCTTCCGCGTGTAAAAGTTTCAGTGTGTAAAAGCTTCTGTGTGTAAAAGCTTTTGGGTGGAAAAAAAATCACTAGAAATCCTTCACTCTGCTGGGGGAGAGCTTTTTGGACGGAAGCCGGGAACGCCTCTGTGTGTAAAGGCTTCTGTGTGCAAAAGCTTCTGTGTGCAAAAGCTTGTGTGCGTAAACTTCTGACGAGTCGAAGTCGGAGTAGGCGTCGGAGGAGGCGTAGGAGTGGAAGTAGGAGTGGGAGCAGGAGTGGGAGTAGGAGTGGGAGTAGGAGTGGGTAGGAGGAGGAGGAGGAGTAGTAGTAGTAGTAGTAGTAATAGTAGTAGTAGTAGTAGCAGTAGTAGTAGTAGTAGCAGTAGCAGCAGTAGTAGCAGTAGTAGCAGTAGTAGTAGTAGTAGCAGTAGTAGTAGTAGTAGGGAGGGGGGAGGGGGGGGGTGACTTTGATTCAGACGAAGCAAAAACGCGCGGGAAGAGAACAAAGGAACAAGTACAAGCCAAGAACAGAAACAAGTACAAAACAAGAACAGAAACAAGAACAACACCTCACAATCAGACACGCCGGCAGGCCGGCGGATTTCCGCACATCATCATTGATGTGAGTGTAACATAATTATGGCTAGTGGCAATGAAGAGAAGTAGCGCTGCAGTTCGTGGGAGGCAAAGGCAAAGAGCAGTTCGAACCCTTCTCCAGTCTCACAGCTGCAGTTGATTCCCATACTTCCTGTGAGGAACGGTGGATCCTTTGCTATTTGTATGACAGTGTTCTGACCACCATTCCTGACCAGTAGATTGTCCAAATCACAGATGGAACTGCATGTGGAAGTCATTGTACCTTCAAATATGCCTGAGAGGAGTTGGAGGCACTTAATGCAGCACCACAAATCAAGCTAGGAGATCATCTGCAGAATATTGAATATTCCATTTGCTCCCTGTAGGTTGTTATGAATTAATGAATCCTCCTTGAATGGCAGTGTTCCGATAAGGACATTGATATATACATATATATATACACATACATATACACACTCAAACATGACCACTTTAAACATATGTGCGCACGCAGAAGACAAGAGGGAACCTTATATTCACTCTTTTCCGGCGTCCCACTAAATCAGCAAGTCAGTGTCAGTTTTCAATCATGTGCATTTCCAATCATGCTGCATGAATCAGGCTACAAAACCGCCGCCGCCGCCACCACCAGATGTAGAGGTTTGGTCGAGCTTGATATTTAGGAAAAAGGACTTTTAGGAGCAAAGCCTCTTCCAAACAAATTGTCTTATGGAGGGAGACAAAAGCTTCTCAGCTTCAAGGCAGCCGCAAAGGTTTGTGACTCAATGCGTTCGTGATGACTACTGCGTAACCTGGTCAGCCCACCAAATTCACAAGCTGTCGCTAGGCAGAGAAGGATGTGCCAAACAGCGATAGCCCTGCCCCAGCATCAAAGGCGTCAAAGGCAGCAGCAGAGGCAGGGAACGAGCCAGTATCTTGAGATGGTCAGAAGTGTGACTTGCGTACACAACTGATACATAGCTGAAAGTTTTGAGCCCAAAAGTATCTCGATCCTTCTGGTTTGTCTGCAGAACAATATGTAGATGTTACAATGGAAGATATGAGCACAACTGCTGACTAATTGGTGAGTCGGAGCCAGACTCAGCTTACATGTCAAGCAGGCTTCAAAGACGAGTGTGGTGGAAACCACTGCTTCCACGCCTGTGCAGAAGGTGCTCTTGTAGTTGGCCAGCTCGCTGAAAGATCATTTGCATCAGCATGCTGCTGTCACACCAAGTACTGACACGGGAAGTGGGTGTGATGACGACAATGTGCTGATGTGGTTTAACGCGCAGCCTGGTCAGCCCACCAAATTCACAAGCTGTCCCTAGGCAGAGAAGGACGTGCCAAAGAGCGATAGCCCTGCCCCAGCATCAAAGGCGTCAAAGACAGCAGCAGAGGCAGGGAACGAGCCAGTATCTTGAGATGGTCAGAAGTGTGACTTGCGCACACAACAGATACATGGTATTTCCAAGATACCGCAGCATGGCTGAAAGCTTTGAGCCCAAGAATCTCTAGATCCTTGGGGTTTGTCTCCAGAACAATATGTAGAGATGTTACCGTAGAAGATATTCATATGAGCACAACTGCGGACTAATCGGTGAGTCGGAGCCGGACTCAGCAGACATGTCAAGCAGGCTTCAAAGACGACTGTGGTGGAAACCACTGCTTCCACGCCTGTGCAGAAGGTGCTCTTGTAGTTGGCCAGCTCGCTGAAAGATCATTTACATCAGCATGCTGCTGTCACACCAAGTACCGACACATTCGCGGAAGTGGGTGTGATGACGTCAATGTGCTGATGTGTTTTAACGTGCAGCCTGGTCAGCCCACCAAATTCACAAGCTGTCGCTAGGCAGAGAAGGATGTGCCAAAGAGCGATAGCCCTGCCCCAGCATCAAAGGCGTCAAAGGCAGCAGCAGAGGCAGGGAACGAGCCAGTATCTTGAGATGGTCAGAAGTGTGACTTGCGTACACAACTGATACATAGCTGAAAGTTTTGAGCCCAAAAGTATCTCGATCCTTCTGGTTTGTCTGCAGAACAATATGTAGATGTTACAATGGAAGATATGAGCACAACTGCTGACTAATTGGTGAGTCGGAGCCAGACTCAGCTTACATGTCAAGCAGGCTTCAAAGAGGAGTGTGGTGGAAACCACTGCTTCCACGCCTGTGCAGAAGGTGCTCTTGTAGTTGGCCAGCTCGCTGAAAGATCATTTGCATCAGCATGCTGCTGTCACACCAAGTACTGACACGGGAAGTGGGTGTGATGACGACAATGTGCTGATGTGGTTTAACGCGCAGCCTGGTCAGCCCACCAAATTCACAAGCTGTCCCTAGGCAGAGAAGGATGTGCCAAAGAGCGATAGCCCTGCCCCAGCATCAAAGGCATCAAAGGCAGCAGCAGAGGCAGGGAGTGAGCCAATATCTTGAGATGGTCAGAAGTGTGACTTGCGTACACAACAGATACATGGTATTTCCAAGATACCGCAGCATGGCTGAAAGCTTTGAGCCCAAGAATCTCTAGATCCTTGGGGTTTGTCTCCAGAACAATATGTATAGATGTTACTGTAGAAGATATTCATATGAGCACAACTGCGGACTAATCGGTGAGTCGGAGCCGGACTCAGCTTCCATGTCAAGCAGGCTTCAAAGACGACTGTGGTGGAAACCACTGCTTCCACGCCTGTGCAGAAGGTGCTCTTGTAGTTGGCCAGCTCGCTGAAAGATCATTTGCATCAGCATGCTGCTGTCACACCAAGTACTGACACGGGAAGTGGGTGTGATGACGACAATGTGCTGATGTGGTTTAACGCGCAGCCTGGTCAGCCCACCAAATTCACAAGCTGTCGCTAGGCAGAGAAGGACGTGCCAAAGAGCGATAGCCCTGCCCCAGCATCAAATGTGTCAAAGGCACTGGAGGCAGGACACATCGATTCGGATCGAAGAGAGTACTTGAGGAGTGCAAGAAGCATCCAGTGACCGGATGATTCTAGTTTTTTTTGTGCAATAAGAACGCTTCTGGCAGAACCTGCGTAAGGCGAACATCTAAAACGATAATCAAGTGGTCCAACCTCTCGATTGTGTAAAGATCATTCAAGCTTTCCAGGAGAAACAGTGAGCCATTTTGCCCTTACCAGCCTTGCGATGCCCAGTGTGATTGCAAACGCAGCTTTGTGCAGCAGCGTACTTGGGCCCCACTTTGCTAAGTGCCCCAAAAACCAAACTCTGCACTACTCACATCCTTACTCCTTACAGCGTTTTTCCTTCTTGGGTTGTTGGGATGCGGTAGCATGCATGTGCCCGAGATGGCATGACATAAAGTTTTACACTGACACCTTTGAACATGTTGGGTTTGGAATGGTTTGGATTGACAACACTTAGCTGCTTCAAGGCTCATATTGCCTTCCTTGAGAAAGAACTCAACCAGTTTCTCGTCCCAAAAGATGAGAAATCGGCACTGAATCCTGCAATGCATGCTTTGTCAACATGACGCTGTACTT